ATACTCTCTACACTGGGAAGTTATTCTTGTTAAGAGAAGTAGGAGTGAATCTAGGTGAAACAGTAGGGAGAAAACTGGTTTTCTAAAAACAACTTTTTATAAATTTAAAAAGGCTCTCTGAGAAAACAATCCATAGAATACTTTTTGGCTTTAAATATTTTTAAGCAAACATAACTTTTCATTTAATTATTCCTTTACATAGAAAAGTTACTTTATTTTGAAAGAATTATTTACCTTTTTAATAATATAGCATTCTTATCATAAATTCAAAATACATAGCTCTATTCAATTTGAAATGTGTGTGTGTGTGTGTATGTGTGTGAGTCATTAAGGGAAAATCTGTTCTAAAGGAAAGAAGTTGGAAGCAGGACACCTAAATTAGAAGATATATTGCCATGGTTAAGGGTGTAACTATCTCCCTACTCAGTATTGTACAGCAATGAACTAGATGCAAAAGTTCACTCTGACCTGTAAAGGAAGTGATTCATTGAAAACAAGAATCATATGCAATGAAATAACCAAATAACTTAAATATAATTCTTACAGCAAGAACACAGCCACTGAAGCAGATAGTACAAACTGCCCATTAACAAAAATCTGTCGACATATCAAAATCATATTTTCTGACTTCTGATATTCTGCCATATAATTTTACTAAATCTTTTAAAAGTTTTCCAGTGTTCTCTCCTGTTTCATCTTTATTCAAATGGTTTGTATGTCAGGAATGAGAAACATCAGGAAGGAGTAACAAACATGAATGAATGAATGAAGAAAGAGAGAGGAAGAAGGGAGACAGGAAGAAAGATAGGGGAGGTGGACTCCGTTTTCAGTAGTATAAAGGTAATTGTTCCATGATAATCTCCTCTTAATTTTGGAAGAAGCAACCACGAACAACTGAGATTATCACTGAAAAGAGGACTCTAATTTTTGACAGTCCACACGTACATTCCCCTTCACTCCACACATTTAATTTGGTCCAAGCAATGTGAGTTGAATCCAATGAATTTACTCCGTTTTTTTTCTGGTTTACACAGTTGGATTATTTATTTCCTAAACGGTTGCCACTGACTCTCTCAAGCAGAATAATAACACAACTATGGCATATCACTAGATACTGCCCATTTCTTTCTAAAACCTCTGTGCAAATCTACTAGAGGTAATTAAGTGCACCACTGCTATATTTCTCAGTTTGTGATGTAGACTACAGGACACCATTAGACTTGAATGAATCTTTATATAATATAAACTTGAAATACATTTTTTAAAATTCCAAAATTATCCCTCAAAATATAAAAGATTTTGCATTATATATTTGTCTTTATAAGCTACTTCATATTATGAAACTTCATCTTATTTTGAAAGACAATATGTTGTTTGGAGAAGACAAATTAATTTGAGTAACTTGTTAGTGGTAATTTGGGATGTTGTTTGCAAGATGGACTAAGAAGAGGCAAAAAATACACAGTTAATTGTTCCTGTGTATTCTTAAAAACCCATGCATGGCTTTAAATATTGGAAATCACTGTGAATAAACCTTTAAAAAATTTTAAGAGAATGATTCAGATGGCCAAGAAAACCCAAAATTTTGACAAAGTGTAATTCAGGGAGACGTATTCTACCGAGTGTCAAAATGTCGGCAACTATAGCATTTCAGAGAGTGGTGTAGTTGTGCAGGAATACACAACAGACTGTGGTCAACTTGGTCATTCTTCCATTGTAAGAGAAGGAATGCTGAAATAAGAACAATCAGGGTAAGTTTCCATCCAAGCTGTTTCAAAGGCCTCCAGGCTCCACATACATGAAAACACTATATTGGACTAGGTCCCCACAAAACCCCTGCCCTTGTACTGACTGGAAAGATGGGAAGGTTTAATAGAAATTGTCACATCTGAAGTTATTATGAAGGATAAGTCAAAGTTCATGAGGCATGAAAGGAGAGTGGGCAGGCAAAGGTAAAACACTTGCTAGGTCAAGTGAAATTAGCTGACCTATGGCATAGGATTTACAAAGGACTGGGTTGGGAGAAGGGCTTAGAAGAGAATAGCTGCAAGGCAATGAGAGGCCCCAAACATCATGTTTAGAAATTTGTACTTATTCATGGATAGTCCAAGGATAATATGTGAAGAAAGCTGACTGGCTCCAATGCTATAGAATAGAGTTCAAACTTCAGATTCCAACTGTCCCAAGCTAATTTTCAAGTTTAACTTTTTCCTATTTATGTTAAATAACTTTCTAGAAAAATTACCACCAGAATGTACAGTATCATGTTTTTTTCAGATACACACAATGTTCATTATGAACACCTTTGTTCTCTTCCACTTACAAAGAATCTATGGACACTTTGAGTGTCTTCACTCTTGAACTTTTTTCCAACTCAGAATTTATTCTTTCTTTTTTTCTCCTAGCATAGCAATGTACACGGTACTTTTCTAAGATCACTTATTTTTCTGTTACATAATTATTTTATTAGAGATTACACTTGCTGTGCCCAAGGAAGCAATGACTGTACTAAGCAGCATGCTTATCACAATGGACATAAAAGAAATATTGGTCTAATACATTTTTTCCTACAGTGGATCATACAGCACTTTTGATACATGAGCTATTTTTAGGTATACATTACTATATATTTAGTTTTGAATTTATTTAAACATAATTTATATTTTAATTGCATATTAATTTTATCATTATGAATTATATTTATTTTGGAAAATTATAAGTAGTATATCAAATCCATGACTTCAACAAAACTACTGCTTAGGAATTGGCTAAATGAAATGAAAATATTAATCAGAGTAAAGGGCTAAAAATGACTCTTCTCCCTGATACTCCTTACTAATGCACCCTGCTTAATATTTTTCACAGCATTTATCATCATTTGACATATATGTCATTCCTTTCTCCCCATCCTCAGAATTTAAACTCCACAAGGGCATGGATTGGTCTATTTTATTTGCTGCTTTATTCCCAGAACTTATAATAGTACCTGTTAAATATTAAGTTAAATATATTTACTGAAAAAGGAGAGAGAAAAGTAGATACACAGGAAATTAAGGAGAAACAGAAGAAGGGAGGTGAAGGAAGAGGGAAAGAGTTGAAGATAAATCATACTATGGAAGGTGTGAAAATATAGCAATGACTGTAAAGTTGGTCAGGTATGGATTGGGAAGCACTGTAATAGAAAAAAGAACAAGGATTTTGGATAACGGAGATAGTGAAATGTTATAGGATCTCGGAAAATAGGCTATAAAGCTAGAGTACTATGAGACATGAAATTTTCTAGGTTATGTCGCTGATCCTCAGGAACATTCTGAAGGTTCCACCAAAACTCTGCCATTTCTATTCTGTGATAAAGTTGGAGAGTCTTTTAAATCCATTGGGGAGAACATTCAAAATGGAAAATCCTGTGCTCGCTTCGGCAGCACATACACAGAATGGAAGATCCTAACGGAGTCTAGGTTCAGCCTTAGAGAGTTTGCCATTTTCCAAAGCAAGCATACTATAGAAAACAGTGACTGCACCACGGGTCAGAGTATTGTCAGCTCTTTCTTCTAGCTCCACCAGTAAGCGGATGTGTGATTTGTAAGAAAGTCCTAATTGCTAAAGTTTAGGAGGTTACTGAAGGTAAACCTAAAATATAAAGAACAGAAAGTTGAGGTGTAAGACTGAAAAAAATTTTTTTTGCTTAAATTCTTTTATTGGTACATTTTAGGTATACAATACATTTAACATTTATCATTGGGTATTTGTACCTGTAAATGATGTATCTTGGTTCTTATTTTTCCCTATTCCGTGCCTTCCCTTCACCACCTCCACCCTTCCCTATTTACAAAGCCTTTGTTTCCATTTTTTCCTTTTCTCATAATTTTTCCTTTCCCTTCTAAACACTCAAAAATTTTTAATCTTCTGGGAGAGGATATATTCATTCAATAAATATTTACTGAGAACTTCCCTAAGCCAGGCATTTCTGTAGACATATTTAAGACTTAGGTGCTTCCCTTAACTGAGGGAAAATAAATCTCTACTCAAGAAGTTACAAAATACTGTGAGTGGTCTAATTAAGTAAATTATTATAAAGTGTCCAGCATGTTGCCTTGGTGATCAATTTTGCTCAAGCATGTTGGCCAAAAAACTTTAGGGAGGAGGTAATATTTAGGTAGGCTTTAAACTTGACAAATATTGATCTAAATATTAACATTTATCAAAGGAAAAGATGAATAACATTGATGGAAAACAAGCTGTTTTTAGATATGCACTGAAGTAGAAACATGTTTAGTTTCAACAGTTACGGACATATTTTATTATGCTTTTGAAAAGTTGCATCTAGAAATAAAATCCATGATTCCCAGGCAGTATTGGACAGGATGTGGTGAAGTAAAAAAATAGTTAGAGAGTTAAGCTGTTTTATTTTCATTCAAACCATTTGTCTATACTTTTAAAAGTTTTATAGATCCTACCAGTGACACAAATATGGGAAAAGGGAATCACTAATATTACTGTGCTTCCATGGATTCTTATTCCATTGCTAGCAACCTCACATTAACCAGTCGCTTTAGGATCTGGAGAACAATAAACCTGGCAAATTTATACAGTCAATTTTAGAGCTGGAAAGGACTTCAGTGTTTTCATTTTATAGATAAGAAAACTGATGCCCAGAAAATGTTGGTGACTTATTCATGTCATACAGGTAGTGAGTGACAGGGCCCAGAGTCAACTTACATTACTTAATGACAGGTCATTAAGATGACCCAAAACATCTACTTGATGGACAGAATTTTCTTACTTCTTGTAAGAGACCTCAATATGCTGGATATCTATAAAGTTATGAACCAATGAAGCATTGGTTGCTTCATTCAGATATTCAAGTGTGAAGTCAATAACAACAATAAAGAGAGAAAAATCCAAGCAAGAACCAAAATGAAAAAGTAAATTAGGAGTGTTACAGTGTCACAGTGTTACAGAATAAGACAGTATATTATTGAAGAAAGCATTAAAATTACCTCCAAGGACCATCCCAGCCTGACAGCATTTTCTAAGGCGACATGCTGGGCAATTTTTTCTGCGGATTTTATCAACAATGCAGTCATTTCTTCCAGCACATAGATAGTTGTGCTGCCCTAAAAAATTAAAAAGTAAAAATTACTCACAGTATCTAAAGACTACTGGATATTTTACACAGTGACAACTGAAGCAGAGGACAGATGCACATCAGCAAGTGCATGACTCTTAGCTGGCCTCTTGCTGGGCATCACTGAGCGTTGTGATGCTCCAAACCTGCTCAATATTTTACCTGTGTCTTCAAATGATAAATGTTAAAAAATTAAACATTTATGAGGTGTGATTGAAAAATATCACAAGGACACACTGCCATTAATTCACCTCAAAATACTCTCCCTCACTTTGAACACACTTATTCCATCATTCTTGTCACTTTCTGAAGAAGTTCTGGAAGTCTTCTTGTGTCTTTATCATGGCTGCCTCAGTATCCTGCCTTGATTCAAAATGTTTACCTTTCGTGGTCATTTTGACCGTTTGGACCACCTGTAAGTCTCACAGTGTCCAGAGAATAATAGGGATGAGGACACAGCATAATGATTTTACAAACCTGCCTTTCCATTGGCTGGCACTCAGCAGCAGCTTTCATTGTATTTTTTATCACACCTAGTAAAGACACTCACGAAAGAGGTCTTCCAAAACTGCTTCAAAAAGTGGCAACTGTCTTCAAAGTAAGAGAATTTTGAGGGAGGTTAATGGTAGTATGTCTTTTACTATAATAATTTTTTAAAATTTAAATATTCATCATATGTTTTAATCACCTTTCATATTTATACATTTCAACATATATAAATGAGGAAACTATAGTTATCAAGTAGAATGCAATTCTTATATGTCTTGCAGAAAAATAAAGAGCTTAGGGGTCCAACATTTAAAGTTTGAAGGGAAAGGAAAACTTTGGATAACTGAGAGCTATGATATGAAATCACCTTCATACCTTGAGGGGTTGGCCCAACTGATAGCACTGGGGACTGCTCTTAACAGACTGGAATGTCTGTAAGAAATGTGAAAATTTAGTCCATTCCAAGTTATGATCATTTCTTTCTTTTTTTTTTTTTTGAGACAGGGCCTCGCTTTGTAGTTCAGGCTGGCCTTAAAACTCACTGTGTAGCTCAGGCTGGCCTCAAACTTGCGGTGATTCTCCTGGCTCAGCCTCCCGAGTGCTGGGATTACAGGCATGCATCACCATACCTGGCTAGTTATGATCATTTTTAACACTAAATGTCAGACCATTAAGACTGCAAAGTGGATACATCATCCTGCAAGCAAAATGTAGGGGTACAGCTGAAGATTATCTTCTCTGTAAAATTGTTTGTCCAAAGAAATGTTGCAGCTAGGCAGTGCCAACTAAAGCTGACCAACGTAATTTTTCATGGGCCCCAGGCACTGCCTCTGCACCACTATACTTGGCCAGGACTCACAGCCACCAAGAAGGCCAGAGCCTCCTGAGCCTTCTTGAAGAAAGGGCTACTCCTCTCATGCCATCAGATACTGGCTGAATATTTATTCACCTGGCTGGTAAAAAAACTTCAGGCACAAATGCACAGGCTGAAAATACTAAACTGTTAAACTTTGGGATTAAAAATTCAATGTAATCAATTGCTACCACTTTTCTTCAGGTAACAGCTCTTAGTTTATATACTGGTTTTGAAAAACACATCCACATCCAGGTCCACCTGCTCACTCCTTTTTTTTTGGTACCGAAAATCAAACTCGGGTCCTTGCACCTGTGCAGCAGGCAGCAAAACCACTGAACTAAATCCCTGGTCCTCACTCCTTATTTTTATGTCTCAAGCTGTACACTGTTGCTTCTGTTCAGTCTAACATAACACTGTTGATATGAAACACTACACCTCACTCTATTAAACAATGCAGAGCATTCCACTTTCAAACAGAGAGAGATCACAATTTTTCATGATTTTTGAAAAGAAGAGGGAACTATGTAGAAAAATGACAGGAGAAATGAATCTGTATGTCCAACAGGCAGAGGAATAAAATTTGGAGTCAGCACAGTATGACCCATTGTGGGCTTGAGACATGAGCTGGTGGTATGTATAGTGCTATGAAAAATAAGTAAACACAGAAAATTTCTATATGATTCCATTAATATAAAGTTTCAAAATATCAAAACCAATCTATGATGTTCAAAGTTGGGTTAGTGTTTACTTTTAGGGAATGTTCGGAAGGAATAAAATGGGGCTTATGGGATCTTAATGGTTTTTAAATTTTTTGATCTGGTGAGAATAACATGGTTCCATTTACTCAGTGATAATTCATAAACTCTGTATGTCATTTGAGTGTTTTCTGAAAATATTTGTCAAAAAAAGTTTCTTTTGTATTTTTAAATGGTTTCAACTAAAAGGATAACCCTAGAGGGCACTGTGATCCTACAAAATCTGTATAGGGACAATCTCTGAAGTCCAGAGGTTAAGGGGCAATGTCAGAAATGGCCAGAGATTAGAGGCATCCCTGCATTACAGGGTTAGAGTTGGAGCTTCCCAGAGAAACATTTCCATGAACCCCCCCACAACACCCCACTGAAGGAAGCATACACTATAATCATCCGCCAAACACAGAACTCCAGTGACAATCACATCCACCTGCTGTGTACAGCTGTGCACCTCCCTCTTGACCCTTTTTCCCACCCCTGGCCCTGAAAGATCACAGGGAGCTGCTAGTGGGCCCAGGGTGTGTACTTGGGAGTAAACAGAGAAGGAGTTGACCTCGTGCATTCTCCTCCTGCTGGCTTCAAGCCCCGTGCAGTGTATGCTGAACTGGGGCAAAGGAGAAATCTGAAATTTGATGGGAGTTTGAAATTTTGATACAATGCTGGTCTGCACATTCTGATTATTGAGAAGAGACTGTTCTTCTGATTAAACGCTATGGTCCTGGCCTAGGATTTCAAGCCAAGGATGCTAGAACTAGCCTACAGCTTTATTTTTACAAGTTATGCTGGTGTCAGTATTCAGAAAAAATAACACACACACACACACACACACACACACATATATATATATACACATATATATGGAAAAATTATGTAATTAGTTTGCTCTTACTAGAAATATAAATATAAACCAGAAAGTGTCAACTGGAGGCAATCTTGTACCCTTCCCCATCGATTTTCAGGATATTCACAGTTCCTGGAGACAGTTTTGACTTACATGACTAGGAGGTAGAAAGGTACTGAGGAAAAATCAGGAATGATACCAAACATCCATTCTACAATGCACAAGACAGCTTTGACAACAAAGAATTACCTGACCCAAGATGTCTATAGTGTGACAGAGAAATCTTAGTATAAATTCCTGATTCCCTCACTTTAAAAAAAAAAATGTGTTTGTTAAGTCTGTCTACTGAAAATGTCCAGAAGTAAAGACAATGCTAGGAGCAACAGACACTATGGTTCAGATTGTCATGTCTAATATTATCATCCCAAATTAACCAATCCTTGTAGAAATGGCTGATCAAGGACTAGGCAGAAAATGTATAATTTGAGCCTGAGGTCTTGCTATAACAGATTATGTGATTTTGTTGGGGGCTAATAAAATCGTGTCACAGCCACACTGATTCCATGGTGTGATTGTGGTTTGTGCACTCCAAAACTCACGGAAAAATTCAATCCTCACTGTGACAAAGTGCAGGGTTGGATAAGGTGGGACCTATAGCAGGTGATTAGGGTTATGTCTGCAAGCATGAATTAATCTACCCACATGACTGATACATTAACAGATTAATGAGTTAATGGGCTAACGCAGAAGTGGACCTGTTAGAAAAAGTCTGTTGTTCAAGGTCTCTCTCGTGCTTCTGGTCTCACCATGTGATGTCCTGTGCTGCCTCAGGACTCTGGCACTAAGGCCATCATTAAATGCAGCCCCTCAACCTTGAACTAGAAATGTGAACCAAAATAGACCTCTTTCCTTGGGAATTTACTCAGCCTGTGTTATTGTGTTGTTAGCAACAGAAAATGAGCTAATCTACTGACCAGAGATTAAACAATTTGAACAAAGAATTAGCTCAAGTGATTAAAACAAATTGAATATATAAAAAGTCATGGGAACATAATGATATTTAAGAAAGAAAAGAATAGGAGAAAGAAGCAAATTTCACTGTGAACCACTGGAGGTTGCTAAGGTACAAATCCGGTACTCTGAAAACTGATAACCAAAGATAAATAATTAAACCCTTTTAAGCCTTCCATTATAAACTGTATTTTAAGAATACCAAATTGCCATGTGGAAGAAAGAAAAACTATAAAAAACTATGTAGAGCCAATAAAATCGGAAGGGATAATAAAAGTAGAAAATCATCCTTTTGTGATCCCTAATAAATGTCCACCACTTGTGAAGTCTGAAAAGATGATTAAAATACTCCATTTTACAACTACCTATCTGTGTGAGGTCGCATTTTCTTCATATAATCTAACCAAAACAACAGATTGAATGTAGATGTAGATACGAGAATCCAGATGTCTTCTATTAAGACAGACAATAAAATGACTTCTAAAATTATAAAATAATGCATTCTTGTCACTAAGGTTTTCAGTTTGGAAAGTTAATATCTAATGGCTCTGCTATTTTTTCAAATGAGAGAATCAAAGTTTAAAAAAATTACCAGTTTTAATTTCTAATATAGTAAATATTGGCAGACATAATCCACATATACAAAAGGTCTTTGAGTTCTCAGTATTTTTTAAGTAAATGGGTTATGAGACCAAAGTGTTCAATTATTGTGAAAATGTTTAACCTAATTATATGGTTAAAAAGTTGACAGGGCCGGGGATTTAGCTCAGTGGTTCCGCTGCCTTCCTCACAAGTGGAAGGACCCGGGTTCGATCCCGGGTACCAAAAAATCCCAAAAAACAAAACAAAAAAAAGTCAGATAAATCTAGATTGTAGGAGTTTCTAAAAAAAGTTGATCTGGACTCTTCAACAATGTCAAAGTCGAGGTTGGGGGAGAGGAAAGAGAAAGAGAGATGGGGGAGAGGACAGAGAGAGAGAGAGATTTTTAGATCAAAGGAAACCAAGTAGAATTGAGAAACGTTCACCAAGAGAAATACATA